CTCGACGGAAAGGAAGGCCATGTGATAAACATTAGAGCGGCGGCAGTAAAAGAGTATAACGGAAAAAAATTACTGTCCACCTCATCGGCATCAATCTTGAAGCATTGTGAATCGGATTTGACGAGAGAGGAACAAGAACTTGCTGACTGGTGGGATAGAGAAGGACACTCGAGTGAATTTGCCGCTCTCTCGATTAACAAATAAATTAACGAAGGGTTAGTTTTCATAAGAAACTTTATGGAGTGGTTCATTGTAGGTTCCTCCCTCACTCGTACCGGCGCAGCAACGCGCGCCGGGCTGCGCTAGTAGGCACATGAAACAACCATTCCAATGCGAGAGTTTTTTTCAAGAGCAGTAAGAGCCAACTAGAAAACCGTGGAATCTTTCGCTCTTCCGACAGCCACGTCTAGCTCTGATCGACCACATGCTTGTTCTGTTTCTGTACCATCGGATCCCGTCGATTTCTCCAGCGTTCTGAGCCTCCCAGATTTTCGCGCCTTCCTCGACGCTTCGAAAACCGAAGACATGATCAGCTCAGGGGTGAGGAAGCCGCGCGGAGCCCATCGCGGAGCTCCGACTTCGACTCCGACGCCTTCCACCTCGGATGAGAAGAGCTACGTAGAGAAAGAACGTAAACGAGATCTTGAACCAGCACAGCAGCTTCTCCATCGAACACGATGAGGCGACCCATAGCCGATTTGGCTCTTGAAGGTCGCCAGCGAGAAGGCGTTCTAAGCATGCTCCGGAGGAGAACGATCCCGATCACAGGATTGTCTCCGCAACCCCCAGCAACTTGAACCTCTCATGGGTATGCGATCAGAGGTATCTTGACGAAATTCAACACAGTTTCGTACGGATTCATAATCATGAATATGAATAAGCTCATCTTCTTGAAATGAATTTCCGGGAGTTTGTGGACAAATTCATATTCACGATAAGAATTCCAGGTAAGTAAGGTTGGGGGTTTCCGTTATTATGATTCGTTTCATGACTATGATTCCATTCTGATCCTCGGAGGAGAGTCACAGCTGAGAATGGTATGTTTCTCTCGCCGAACAAATGTTGTGCTCCGGTCTGTGTGAACAAAGGTCTGGCTGAACAAAGATGAATTATTGCCGTTCTCATTATGACGGCTGAAAACTAATTATACATTAGGGGAAATCTACTGGAAGCGCGCTTTCTGAGTCTGCTTCCTGCCACGGAGATGGCCGCTCCGGTAGCGCTCTCCAGCCACGAGCTGATCATGCGATTGATTCTATCCCTATACGCTCATTCTAATAATATTTCCAAGATAACTCCGAACGAATCATGTCGGAATAGTCGACCATTCACGATTGGAGCTATTGATTGAATAGACTGTGAGAATCAGGAGCTAGCGAGATTGCAGATGTTAGGGTGATCATCGGCTGAAGCCCCAGCGCTGCCGCGCCGCTGCGGCGGCAGCACCAACGATGGGCGACAACCATCTGAACACTGCGTTCGAGCTTCAACTTCAGCGTTCAACTGACTTCAACTTACCCCGGCGCTGTATCCCCCAATACATTCCGGTTTCCGATCTGATTATCGAGAGCGGGATTACCTACTATTCTCCCGAGATGTGGACGCAAAACTTCAAGTACCGAGTTTGATAGTTTATCAAGCGAACAAGAACACGTGTGTATGCGCCGAGGTAGGACTTTCTGATACCTAATTATTGAGATGCCTTTTTTTTTTCAAGTCTTAGACTGGTCGAAGTCGAGGTTGATCATTCTCAGATCCTGAAACCCTCCCTTGCGCATGATCAGGACTCGGTCCTCCTTAGCAGAGCCGCGGAGAGAAATCTCGGGCCCCATGTCGAGCAGAAGCAAACCTCCTCGTTACCATCTGCTTCTGCGTCCTATGCGAGAAGCCATCATTGATTAGCGACGAGTCCCCGAATCTGAACTCCGACAAATAAGCCCCGCCAGAACGAGCCCTTCACTCAGCTCGCAGGAGCTCCGAGCTGCATAGCGACGTTCGCAATGAGCTCGGGTTCACATGTCGCGGAGCTCCAGCCTCGGCCCCGTTGTTTCCAAAGTTGGATAGGAAGTTCTACCGGCGTGGAGGAAGAGCTAGGGTCGGAAACCTTGATCCAAGGCAGCAGGTGTTTCATCGAGTCCGATCCCCGAGCATCACTCAGAATCAAGGGCGAAATTCGGCGATCTGTTCAAATAGATGCGAATGTCTGGGCAAGCCGTGAGATTGGCGAGACCGGTGGACGTGGCAAAAGTGACGAAGACTGATCAACCGCCGCTGCTGGAGCGGCTTCGTATGCCAGAAAACACGACAGAATCCAGAAATATAGAGCACGATGACATCAGCTCTTCAAACTTGAGACTGCTGATTCACTTTCAGTGAGACGCTGTAATTTTCTGACGTCCCTCCCGACAGCTGATTCTCCATCCCGCTCGACCGACTGTAGCTCCCTCCATGCAGGGTGCGTCATTCCCTCTAGACGCGCAATGCAAATTCGAGAGAGACCGATCAGCGCAGATCTTCACTTCTGCGACGATGATGGTGTTCTTCAAGGCTCAGACACCCCGCTAAAACAGTGAATCAAGAATCGGGGAATCGGGGAATCGAGAATCGGGAATCGAGAATCGGGAATCGAGAATCGGGAATCGAGAATCGGGAATCGAGAATCGGGAATCGAGAATCGGGAATCGAGAATCGGGAATCGAGAATCGGGAATCGAGAATCGGGAATCGAGAATCGGGGAATCGAGAATCGGGAATCGAGAATCGGGGAATCGAGAATCGGGGAATCGAGAATCGGGGAATCGAGAATCGGGGAATCGAGAATCGGGGAATCGAGAATCGGGGAATCGAGAATCGGGGAATCGAGAATCGGGGAATCGAGATTCGGGGAATCGAGAATCGGGGAATCGAGAATCGGGGAATCGGGGGATTACCCTCTCGACGGCCTCCTCTCCGCAGATATTTATTTCATAAGGAATCGCACCATCACGGCCCATGTTCTTATACCGGACCGGGAATTAGATAATTATTCCTACAAACAGAATCTCGTTCTCTAATGTATCCCAGGCTGAGATCGGATAGACTAGGAGCTCCTTATAATCATATCATGAGTTCATATGAATTGTATCCGTGCCTCGTAACTCATGGTGATGGGGCCAGCCCCCGGAAGGACAATGAAAAGGCTTCCTTCTCATTGCGGTGCGAAGTGGAATGAATAGCGAAACTAAGATAAGAGTTCCGCTGGAGCAAAGCGTGCCGTGGAGGGGGTGTATGACCTCTGACGGAAAGGCGTCTTAAGTTTTGATAGGTGAGTAGCATCAGGTCTGAGCGGGAAGCACCCCGGACTGAACTGATATCGGTTCCTCGCGAATTGAATGGGCAAGTTCTCGAGCTCGGGCCCAGCGTCGTGGTCAACAGCCGTTATGAGTCCCGTCCTGAATTCTGCGCAAGAGGCGTGTTTTCGCGGAGTGACGTAAACAGGGTGGGAAAGGCGTTTCACGAAAAGAAGTTCACGTTTCGCTCGAGGACAGCGAGACGCACTCCCCATTCGTCGGTTCACTCGCTCGAGTGCTCTGATTCTTCCAGACTCCAACGTTGACTGAAAAGGAGCCGAGGACAACACACCCCTGCTTACGACGGGAAACCACCCTGCGTTGAGCTCTCGACAGACTTGGGATTGACTGCTCCGACGCGGCATCATGATGCAAGTCGAAGGTCAAAGGGTCTTCCAGCATACCAATGGCAGCTTTCCGAGCGAGGAGAATATTCGATGAACCCAACAATTGACCCCCTCGTCTCGCGCGAGGAAATCGGAAGAATTCGTATCATAAAAACGACGCATTCGGAATGTGGAATGCTCATATAATAATACACAGTCGATGAGCAATCTCTGAAAGCGGATTCCGATGAACTTATATTGGCGATTCGCCGACGCTAAGGAGACCGCGAGGGACCGGCCATAATATCTTCCCTCTGCCGAGGGGAAGAGTGCTTTCCGCACTCAGGACTTGAGTAGATAAGGAGATGAGCGGCACGCCTCGACTCGTGCCTTGACCATTGATAGCTCGGTAATGCTGCCCGATAGTGAGATAGCGTTGCTTTCACAGAGATCGATCGATGATTTCTCGTCTACTATCAATAGCTATGTCCTTCGCAGAAACAAAGCGTCTTATCGGCTTAAACGCCAAAGAAAACGTCGGAGCATGACTTGAATCCAGCAGCGATATTCCCGCAAACCGTGTCTCATGCGTGTCCTACTCGGCATTGTTACTCAAAAGTTGCCCCGAAATCTCCACAACTCAATGGTGCTCCAGAACTGTAAATACGCGGCCCTTATAACCTAAGGCTGCCCAAGGACAAGCCCTCAGCCTTAGAGCGTAGCAAACACTCTCTGACGAATGCAGAGAGGGTCCGCGGCGAGAGGACGCCGACAGTCAGCTGTTCCGAACCGTCAGCCAAGGAAGGTGAAAGCGGCTCGTGCAATCGTGGCAAGCTCCGTCACGTTGCTCCTAATTAAGACTCTCTGTGCAGGATGGTGAGTTTCAACGTAGAGCGTGTTCTCATTAGGAGACCCTTGACGATTCCTGGCTGGATTGGCGAACCTTCGATCCGAACTGCCGAACTTCTACAACAGAGCTCATCCTCTCCCTCGACCCTCTCCAGTCCATTTCCGGGATTTCCCGTTTCGTTCTTGCCGTTCTCCCATCATGAAAATCCGAGAGGCCGAGAATCCTTTTTTTCCGATGAATGAAATTCCACACTGCGGGACGAGAATTCCGCGCTGTCCCGCCGCGTCCCTCAGCTCTGATATCGGCACAAGCGCGTTCGAAGCAGACCTGATGGCTTCCATGTGTTCCAGGCGTTCGACGCAAACAAACATCCGCACACGCGGTATAACCCTTTGAGGGACGAATGGGTTCTCGTGTCACCGCAGCGCACACAGAGACCTTGGCTGGGAGAGAAAGCTGATCAGAAAAAAGCAGATGTGCCGCTAAACAATCCGCTATCACCCGGGGCCGTACGGCCGAACGGCCAGCTGAATCCCGAATACAAAGGAACGTGGTGGTTCATCAACGATTTCCCAGCGCTGCTCGAAGACTGTCCCCTTCCTCCGACAGACGATGGAGACGACAACGAACTGTTCCGAATGGGAACTGGCAGAGGGAGATGCGAGGTGCTGTGTTTCCATCCCGATCCTTCGCTCACATTGGCTAAAATGTCCCTTGCGGATATAGAAACAGTCATAAACGCATGGACAGAACGCTACGCAGAGCTGTCGAAAACGTTCGAATGGGTGATGCTCTTCGAAAACCGGGGCGCCATCATGGGCAGCTCGAATCCTCACCCTCACGGGCAGATCTGGTCATCGATGTACTTACCAAACGAGCCCCGGATCAAGGATAGATGCCAGAGGGCATATTTTGAGAAGCATGGACGGCCGCTCCTCGTCGACTATCTCCAGAGAGAGCTGGCGAAGGACGAGAGGATAGTATGTCAGAACGAGAATTTCGTTGTCCTAGTACCCTTCTGGGCTATATGGCCCTACGAGACCATGCTTCTCCCGAAACGACATGTTCAGGAGATCACTGATTTGACATCGGTGGAACGGAAAGATTTAGCCAGAATTATGAAAGAACTCTTGATAAAATACGACAACTTGTTCGAAACCGAATTCCCGTATTCTATGGGATGGCACGGCTACAAGGGCGAGCATTGGCAGCTGCACGCCCTATATTTACCTCCGCTCCTCCGCTCAGCGACCATTAAGAAGCACCAGGTGGGGTATGAATTACTGGCGCAAGCCCAACGTGACATTTCCCCTGAAACCGCGGCGCAAATCCTTCGCGACTTGGACGGCGGAACTCGCTTCGAAAACCGTGAGGAGGTGGCGAAGTAGCGGAATACGTACGTCGGAAATTCCGTCGAAGTGACGCACGACAGCCTGTCACGCCCTAGATTATGGCACGCCAGTCTCTTTCGCTGACCGCTGCAGACTTCCACAGAGTGACCTTTGTGGAGGCAGACTGACATCTCGTGGATAGAGGGGCACATTTCCGAGTCGACAGCGGACTCTTTCGTGGATAAATAAAGCGGAGGGAACTACCTGGTTCCTAAGAACGGAATCTGTCTGAGTGTCTCCTGGAAGGCTCGATCATCATCGGCGACTGGAATGAGAAACGGCACTTTCAGCTGTCATTTCGTCGAAACCCCCCAGTGAGTCCGTACGTACCACGGCATGCGTCAGATTGGTGAGCTCGGGTCGAACTCACCCGTCGTTCGGAGGAAAAGACTTTTTTTCAAAAACAAGTTCAGTTTATTCGCCGACGGCGACGACCGGTCGTCACTCTTCCGACTAGTGGTGACGATCATCTCATCATTATTAAGTATTACGAATAATGATTCTAATAGCAATCATCGATAATGGGTTCCCGTGCAATTGGAACTCATCAACCTTAATAATGACAATATTACATCCTCTTTAAACTTAAGATGCTTTGTGGATTTCTTTCGCAACCGTTGGCAGTGTCTTTGACAGTAGACGAAGTTGCCGGAAATCAGGCCTCTCACGCATTTCCGCTCTAGTTTCCATCTCACTCCGATCTCCTCTGCGTCGTAATCTACCTTCTGATTCTTTCGTTCACATTGTGACGGAAACATCAACGTATCCAGTGGAACAGAAACTTTCGGGAGGAATCGTAGGAACGCAAACTACGTAAACGAGTTCACTCTATCCAGACCATCCCTCCAAACTCATTTCCAACAATCTCACGCTCGACAAAGCAATAAAAAAGAGATATGGAATACAACGATGTCAGAATTCAGTCTCAGTTAGACCTTCCGTGTCCGTCTTCTTATTCTGACGAGAAATGAACAGTCACACTCATACACGGAGGGAAGCGCGTCACGCGGGGCGCGATTAAACTTCTCCTATTCCGTCCCTTCCGAGACCCGCTGGTCTCGTTGAAGGAGCAGTAGAGCAGCCTTTCCTTTGTTCTCACGAATGGGTGATTTTCTGAGTTGTACGGGCACACGTTGGTGGATTGAACAACTCTCAGAGAAGCTCTTGTATAGTCAGTTGTTTGCTCTGCTGAGGTACGCCCCGTTTACGGAATGTGGAGATTCGTTTCAACAGATCATGAGCTGTAGAATTGGACATGGGCAGATTCATGCATCAGTGCCGCTGACAGAAGGATATTGGAAGAAACTATGGGTATGGACGAGCGCGGGAAAAACTTCAATCGATTAGAGACTTTCGAGCGCCGGCGTCGATCATAGGTCCTGTGGGACTTGCACATATCTCCTGATGATTTCGATGCTGGCGTCCCCCTCGAATTTCGCCTCTACACACGGCTATATGCCGTTTAGGGTTTAGTGAAAGACGGAGACATCGATTTGACAAGACTTTTGAGTCACACTCGACCCCTATCTTCTATCCCACCCGCTAGAATTATCGATTGATTGTGTAATTACTTGATTGACCGATGAACTAGCTGATTATCCTTCAAATGATTGTTGGTGGGCTACATGATCTGAGGACTCTCAGACCTCATTTGCTTATCGTCATAGTGTTTCGCTAGATGGTGAAGATGCATTTGGATTCGTTCAGACGTAGGGTGGGTTCTCTTCCGTGGGATATGGTGGTTGTGGTCGCTTCTATTCATTATATAATCATTGCAACATTTATGGGTTGATCAGGCATTTGTAAGTGGCGATGACTAGCGGGTCTGCGATTGGCTCTCTAACATTGTGAATTAGCTAGAAATCATACGGTGCCCGGCTTTACAGGTCCACCGTGCGAAGATCTAGTTCTAGTCTATAGTGAAAGACTCCAGCAGCCGCCGAGGAAGCGCGAGCGGTCCACGGCAGCAAGTTTGAAAGACATGTCGAAGATTTCACGATTCATGTACGTAGACGCGGTTCTTAAACCTCTACTAGAATCTAAATTGTCGTTTGTATATGATCTGTTGAGTATTCGACGGAAGTTCCGTGATTAATTGTGAGAGAATCTTGCGGATCCTCGCAGCTTATTTCGATGCGGAAAATTCTCCACGTGGAGTTCGTGGAGCTCGCGTGAGTATTTGAAAGACGTTTGGATCTTGAGTAGATGAAAGACCGATGTACTGAAAGAAGCCAAAATCTGGCGATTTTTTCTCGACTGGGCTAGTGAAGCGCCCGTGGAGCACACTTTATCGGCACCGAGACTTTGAGTGTTCATTCTGAACGATGCTCTCGTCGTTCTCGTTTTTTCTAGATTTTTTTCATTTCCCTTTCTTGCTTTTTCGATTAATTGATTGATTGATCGATTGATTGATTTTTTTCTCTCGTTCAAATATTTTAGTCGGAGGTAGACAGGTCGGCGCTGACCATCCGCAGCAGCCGAGGCCTCATCTTTGAGATTGGATAGTCGTCGTCAGGAAGGAGCGCAATATTATAGAACAGACTGTGTATATCGGGATGAATCGGATTCATCGTTCGGTGTTTAGTCGGATGGTCTGTTCGAGTCTTGACTGAAACATGTTTTGATCTATTGATTGATTGAATAGTGGGTTGGGAGACCGAATATCTGAGCCTCCCATCGCGCATGAGTTTCAATGGCTTAAAGTGAAAGACAGATCCTTTACAAAGATAGGGCTTACATGCCCGGTTCGGGACACGTCGGAGGATTGACGTTGCCGAACACATTGAACTCGATCGCCGAGCATAGCACGAGAAAGACAACGTAGATTATCATCAGAAAAGCGCCTAGGCTCTTGGTAAGATACCAGCCGCTGCGGTGAATTGCAATGATCTGGAAGAGACGGCCATCAGTTATAGGGTCGAAGTATCGATACGCTAGGTCGGAAATCGTGAATTCGAATTTGAGCTCATCCAACATCGCATATGAGCGATGCGTGAATTGAGCTGGAAATTCGCCGGAATCCTGACAGCCTGTCCGGATAGAATTGCAACCCAGGTAGGAACCCTGGAGAGGAATACGCCTCCTAGTATACTTACTGTGATAATGATCGTCAAGAAGAGAAGGAAAACTGTATAGAGAAGTCCCTTCGAGGAGATTACCGCGTATTTTGAGGGGTCGATCCACGTCGTTTGGATTAGCCACGGAACCGCGAGTCCCACCAGAATGTCAAAAACGTTCGAACCGAAGCAGTTCGCAATTGCCATGTCCCCTTGTCCTTGCTTAGAGACAAGTAGCGAAGCATACGCATCGGGTATCGACGTCCCCGCCGCCAGGAAGGTGATGCCTAGAGTGTCGCAAAGGAATTAGAGCGATATCTTGCGCGGGGAATTCCCGGTGTCGGAAGTCGGATGGTGCCAGACAACTCGAGGATGTCATGAGACTCACCCATGATAGAGTCCGGTATGCCAAGGGTGAACCCGATGAGGGTCACCATCCACACCATCAGATAAGAGAAAACAGCTGTCCAAAAGATGGACATGGCGAACGTCGCCAAAAACATTTTGCTATTTGGGCTGGCTTTGCAGTCTGGTATGGTGTATTCCAGGCTAGCGAGAAGTGGCACCTTGATCCAATAGATTGCTTGCTGTTTCAAACCATTCTCGAGAGGGGGTCGAATCCGCCAGTTGTATTTTCGGGATGCCGCCGCGTATGGACTGTTCTCACTGCGGGTAGAGATAGGCGTTGTTTTTTCGGTCAAGGAACAGTAAAACCACGGAGAGCGAGCATACGCTTGTGACGTCGGGGTCGAAGCGTACCGTGAATATTTTAACTGAAGAGCAACCTCGAATATACGAGCGACAGAGTTACAGGTTTTAAGGCTTGAGAGGAATAAGAAGACGGTATCTGACATACGAGCAGTCTCTAATCAAGGGGCACCTTCCCGAGCTGGAAATCGGGTATTTAGGTCCGAAAGACAGAAAAATATCCGGGGAAAAGAATTCGATAGACTACACCGTACGGCGTGAGTTTCATTTGTTCGATGAATCCTACGGTGGTTGCACTCGAAAGAAACCTCGCTCTATCCTCATCTTGGGAGAATAGAAGGGCAGCCTCTAATAGACGGACAGTTTTCGGAGGCTTGAAAGATCGAAAGTCAAGCATGCTCTTCAATGTAGATATTCATGGTGATAACAATAATCTTATTAACACTCATCAGATCGATCTTCCTCAACTAACTTACCTTTGATAGAGCTTCTGTTGACTCTTCTGCCGATTGTGCATGATTCGCTTCGCGGCAGCCCAGAAACGAGTTTTGGGTTTGAAATTGTACGAGCACATGATGATCAAAGCGGCTTCGTAGAATCCGATTTGACACGAAGTCATACCGCCAGAAGCGTAGCTGTTCTGGTTGTTCCCGGTCAGGACGTCCATTTCGCGGCTCTGTACGGCATCTGATAGGCCGAATTTCGTCGCGACCATTAGGTGCAGCATGCGGTTGAATCTGGAGGCATCAAAACCAATAAGGTATCTCAATAATAGAAGGGGAGCAGGGGCGAGTCGGTCTATTTCCTTCGCTGTCAACGCACTTCATCAAGAGGATGTAGAGTCCGTAAAGAAGGAGCATAACACTCGATTCGGTGGCAGAGATCTTCGCATCGGCAATCACGATTATCAGGACAACGACTGTGAACGCGTAGAAGATTGAATCACGGAATAGAGGCCACCAAGTGACCGGCACTTCTCTTCCCGCGCACAGGCCGCAGATCGCAATGACGAAGAGAACGTTGTAGACCGCGGATCCCACCACGGTTCCCGTTCCAACGTCGCCTTTGGCCACGATAACACCGAGGATCGCCGTGAACAATTCAGGGGCCGATGATCCCGCCGCCATGAAAGTCGCTCCTGCGACATCGTCGGATAGATTGAGGCGCTGAAAACGAGGAATGGGAATCGCTTGTTATCTCTTTCCCTGCGTTAGAGCTCCTCGGCTGCAACTCGCTACCCCAGATCAGCTCCGCGATCCCGGACCTTATTCGCTAGAGGAATGCCAAATCTTCCCCCACTCGAGGGAGGCGAGCTGGGATTGACGAACATCTCCATATGAGGAGAGTATAGTAGGGTTCTACCGCTCCCAATCGACCGATTCGTGTAAAGGACGAGCCCGTGCTTTACTTCTAATCCGAGAGTTGACTAGAGCTCTGAGATCGAAGGACGACGCGATATCAGTGAACTCACCTGAGAGCATTCTTCGAGAGAGGCGATAAAATAGTCGTCGCAGACGACGGCGAGAGCGTAGAACATGTAGATGGCGACAGCCATGTGTATGAGAACAGCCCCCGTTTTCGGGCTCGGTGCGAGAATAAATCTGGTGGGAACTCAAGGAAAGCTGAGGAGAAAAATGGATAACCTTATTCCGGAGTTTCAGCTTGGAGCTTTAGGCGTAGGATCACTCCCATTCCCCTCGTTCCCGATGATATCACTGAGGTTGCTTCATTTTCTCACGGTCAATCGGGGAGGTGGCGAAAATCTTCGCGGTTCTCGTGCCAACTACCCGGCGTGCGGACACCCGACCACCTGGGGACTGAGCGGCGGGCTCGTGCCCACCCTCTCAGAGAAGTCGAATTTCTACGTGCCTCAACCGATTTCTCGCAGGCTTTTTACGGAATAGGCACGTGACCCCGGAACGTTTTGTCCGCGAGCCGGTCCCACTCACTCCGACAGTGATTCATTGCTCGATCTTGCATAATAATGCCCTAGATCGATCGATGATTGCATCTGAAGGCCAGCCTAACCGTAAGCTCACGCGGTGTAAAACGGTTCTCATTGTTCTCTCGGAGGAAGCCGAGTGTTTGGCCCTTGAAATCCGCCGAGCAGAAGTCAGCCACGATCTTGGTTTTTCAGATTCGAATTGAGAGGTTTCTCTGACGTAGGTATCGAACTAATCGCGACCTACTCGAACGATTTCGAGACAGACCGCACCAAAAATAAACGAATCCATTCAAGTCTAGTGAGTTCCAACTCGCAGCGTACGAGACTTAGGGTAACCCTTTGCTCGGTTGTCTGTCGCGGTCTCTTTAATAGGAAACCGGATCAATTTTCGTGGAAGCTGATCGGAGCCGATCGCATGATGATGCGGCATATTCGTCAAGGTGGTCTCGAATGCCTCCGGAGCACGGTCGCCGGTGTGAGTCTCTCGAAGGTCGTGCTGGGCCTGTTCTGCCACCCACGTTTTTTCGGACGGGGCTTGTCCGATGAAGATACTTGTTGGCAATGGGGGCATCATCGATGGGAGAATCATGGGACCCGTGCAATCATGGAGAGACTGATGGCGACTTGGTGAGTGAGACGTGGTCGATAGCGGCGGATCGAAGTATCTTCAGCTCGACATTGCTCGCTAATAGGATGGCACGTACTTGGGACCTTCAAGTTTGTCGTCTAGACGGACTATTGAGACTTTCCGTTTCCCTTGCGAGTTCTGCATGGATCACCGCATCCCCTAAGCGGCGTAGGGACCAGGGTATATATGTAGCATCTGGGCTCAGATCGGCAACTCCACGCCGGACCGAATATGGAACTCCAAAGGGCAAATTGACGCGCGTTTCCCAGGCAGAATATATTCGAGGATGAATTTCCAGATTTTCCTCCCCCCCCATCCCCTCTGGAATCCTGCCTGTCCCCGGGCGGAGTGACTGTGCTTAGTGATCATTCGGCGAGGGAACCCGCCCAAGGACTTCACAGAGCGAATCTATGTTTATACCGAAAAATGCCCCCTCCTCCTTGGCACTTACCGCCCCCGAGACACGTTTCGTTTGGTTTGTCGGGATGTATCCTATGACGTGGATGCCCTATTATGTGGGCCCATTCAGATTTCGGCATCGTAGTTTCGATCGTCTTCGGAGGAGATTCCGCTTTGGTGTCCTCGACTGAGGTTTTCGGGGTTTTCGAAGTCGGTCCAGATGTTGTTTTGTTTTCAGGCGTTTCCGTCGGGCTTGTTTCTTTGTCGGGAGATTCCTCATTTTGCTTTTTTTCTCCTTGATTGGATGGTTTCTTTGTGACGGCCGAGCTGGCGTCCTTCCCGGCGTCGCTCAGTAGCTCCCGACTGTGCCATTGAGTCACGGAGCTCTCTGTGGGAACATTAGTACGTTATTAGGGGGAGATATCTCGCGAGCAAAAGGAAGAGCCCGCAAGGGTCGCATATGAGCGCCTGAACCTTCTCGTGGACAAAGGTCTATTTCCCGCATCCGCGTGACCGCGGCTGTGCTTTGCGCGTGTTGCGCATGCCTGTCCTACGAAACGCGTCACCTCACGTCGGGGACTACGCCCGGAATCCGGAGCAGGAAACCACCTCAGAACCCTCTTCGTCTCCGAGCTCCGAGGGGTCAGAGGAGAAAAGGTCCAATGGACGGAGAATGCAATCGAAAGATGCCGCCGCGATAGAGCCTGATTAGGCCGCTCATAAGCGTGGAGCTCGGGCTCTCAGGGGCTGTCCCGCGCTCATCTGCTCCCCGTCCATTCCACCGGTGCTCGGACGGAATGACCGAATGAACTTTCCGTGATGGCATCAAGTAGAGGGGGAGCTCCGGTCAATATCGCTGCGGATTCGGTAATGAAGACTCCGGGGTCCCGTCAAGCTCCGGATCAAGGTGAACGACATCATTGATGATAACCATTTCTCTTCGGGATATAGAAGTATTGGTTTTTACCGGGGAGCGAAAAAACCTCGAGGCGAAGGGAGAACGCACGAGGACCTCATCGGCCTAGTCACATCGAACGCGGTACGTGCGTGGCGCCAAGTCGTTTCCATCCAATGCACATGTAGTACCTCCCCTGAGCCGATACGGATTATTTGTGGTCGTCGTAAGCCGACGTGAGAAATCATTGTAAGGACTGCGGCTCGAGCTGAAGGGCCAACTGAATTTTCGTCTCTTTGAGTGAGCTCTAATGGGATGGGACCCCGAGCTCTGATCCCTGTTTGAGGTCACTCTGGCATCATTCATTCCGTTGCTGCCCGATCTATTCGAACACATATCTCAGGAATCATTGAAATATCTCAGCGATTGCGAAAGCAGCAGTATGGCTCACAAGACGAGTCCGCGCTCATTCAAGACCTCACAAGAGGGATTTCAGCTCGCGGAAACGCTGTGGAAAGCGGAAATCGGAGTGGATTCGAATCTCGGTCCGTCTCGCATTCGAATGTTTCACTGCGCCGGATTCCGCGCACTGGCCGAGTTCCTCACCTGGATTTTCGGCATTCTTCCAGCTCGAGTAGAAATCCGTCACCCAGAACGTTCCGACGACTGCACAAAGCACTATAGCCCTCCGAAAAGCCTTTTTCCTGGCCGAACCTCTCGTGGCTCCGTAGGCCGCCATTGTCATGAACACAGACAGCCTTAACCAGGCCCTGCGCACGCATCTGCGCCAGTGTAAGGCCGAACTCCCCCGGCGGTGGCAACGACGATGGCGGCGGAGGGTTCCAGAGGGTAAGGGTCCGAACGTCGGGCCCCACGTTGGTCGACCGGAGCCGGACTCCTTCCCGCTGTCGGTTTATATCCCGATCGAATAATAGGAGCTAATAAGGCGGACTCCGATGATTACTGGATTTCGACGTCATCGCTTTTTTCCGGGAAAACTCATCCCGAAGGTATTCGTAGTGCTTCAAGATGCTCAGAAAACTCGAGGCGTTCGGATGTTTCGGAGGGGAATTTGCCGACAGCGCCCTGTTCCCGGCTGCTTGGATTCCGGGGAAAGCAATGCGCGAGATAAGTCGAGCTCCGTTCGCTCGACTTGGCGGAGTCCCATAGAGCGCGTGATTAATTCATTTCACAGAATTCTGCACAATAGTAGTTCCTAGGCGCAGAGACTAGGTGCTGAGCGTACGGTCCCTTTCGTGCCGCGAATCAGCAAGATCGCTGTGGAGCAGTTAAACGCCAACGGTGATGGTCCATTCCGATAGAGCCCTGATCAATTTACTTCAGATTTCAGCCTGTTTTATTCTTCACGCGAAATGCGCTCCGCCCAGGCGACGCGACGCCGGTTCGAGTCGCTGGTACTGAATCGATCAAAAATTTGGTATCACGTCTGTTTTCCGAGCACGCCAGATAGCTCCCAATGTTTCCATAGGGCTCGGTACGCGATCAAATCGTTTCGTTTGCAAAAAGTTTCGGGAAACTTGTCGCCAATCGCCAATGATTTGCCCTTTTGGTACGCCCCGTGGGATCAGTGAGCTCCGCGTGGGTCGATATTCGAAGGAAAGATCTTCAGTCCCTCCACGAACGATCGCAGAATTCCCGTGTCCTGCCTGAATCTCGACGGTTTTCGGCGAGCTCCGATGACATTGCTCGATCCCTCATGGTTCGATCCTGATTTCCGGACTCCGCTTTATCCATGCTATTTGACATCAATGAACTTTCATAAACGTGATGACTTCCTGGAATTCGATCGGAAAGACGATGTTCCGATGGCTTCGTCCCCAACTTCTCCCGTGAACCGATAAAACTCAGCAATCGCAAAATTAGCGGTAGCTGCGATGTCAAGAGCAGAGCCCCGCGCGACGGGTGATTCCCTCGTGCGACGGGCATCTAGCGTCGATGGGTGAGTGTGGCCATTTTGTTCATCTAGTTTCGCTGGGGTACAAACAACTCAAGCGGCCGACGGAGGAGCGATCGACCGACAGGCCGAACAAGCGAACGAGAAAGCAAGCGACTTGAACAGCCGTTCGCGCTGGCATACAAACCGACGGGTAGCCAACGAACCGACAACAACAACTCCGAAGCACTACCCTCTTCTTCTCGCTCATTCGCGAACTAACCACCGAAGTTTCGGCCAAGCGCTCTGAGCTCTATCGATATAGTGTGTGAAAGTGAGAACGGCAGAACTTTGATATCGGATTCTAAGTTAGTGCCGAGAGGATCAACCACTCTATCAACTGCCGATGGTAAGCGTCGTACAGAACTCTTTCGAAGACCGGAGGAGTCAGTCCGTCATCATTGACTGAATCGTGAAGTCCGAAGTTATCTTCGGATCTGAGTCTCTGAAACTAAATCTTCGGTCTTTAAAGAGTCGCGCCTCAATCTCGAATCTTTTCCGTCAGTGTTTGCTGTTCTCGTCGAGATAGACGAGACGATCGGTGGGGATGGCATCTTTTCTCAACCTAGGTATGGTGTCTGTTTTCTACACCAATCCGGAGGAATCATGAGGGTTCTGATTTAATTGTTCGTGCTTTCTCGAACGTTGTTTCACTCGATGCAATTCCATTGATATTTCGGCAGATCCCTGTATGGAGGCTCGATACACATGGTTTCGAGTGTTTTATGATTTCCCGTGAAGCACCTAAATGTGACCATGTGCTGCTGAGTGAGTGAGACTCGTGAGTGAAAGAAATGCCTCTTTGAATGCGGTGCGCATATGGACGAACTCAGAGCCGCTTCTCAGAGATCTTGATTTGTCCTCGGTTCCTCGGAGCTGCTCTCGCAACGATTCTCGAAGTTCGGCGAGATTTGATATTGAAGTCATTGTCTGACGTACTCGGTCGGGGTCAGTCCGGAATTCGGCCTAAGGCTCACCAAGATGCAATGCTCCCGAGTGGGAGGAAGGAAAAAGATTCCGGGCGCCTCGCCCAATCGAATTTCCAGAACGGGTATCCTAAAATCTCCAAGACAGCTGTGCGCGTTGACGTTGATTTTTTGTGAGTTTCTGGACTCTGGGTATTGTTTGTTGTTCGATTAGACGAGCTGATGATCATTTCGTTCCGCTTAGGAGCCGAAACTCCGACAGGTAGCCGAACATTCATTGTTCGAGCTTCATCACTGATTGTCTCGTCATGACCGGTCATTAGTGCGGCTTCGAGCAAAGCTTCACGACTCGAACCCACTGCTACTTTCGCCAAGAGGCGCTAAGACTCAAGTCTTCGAGGAGGCTCGAAGATGTGGTCGACATTGTGCGGAGACTTCTCGGACAGAAGGGCTGTGTTTGGAGATGACAGATGGTTCCTATTCGACGCACATTTCTGGATGTTGGAACAAAAACAAGATCTTCGGGAAGTAGAATCGAGTTTCCCCAGTTACGTTCCATCGAGGGAACTCGATATCGACGGCACCCATTGGCTCGGTAACCGTAGAAGGACGGCTCTAGTTAGAATAACTTCCCGCTCCCAGAATGAGGAAATGAGATTCCAGCCGACGCTTCCCGAAGAAGATCGACCTACTTCTCCGGGGAGATGGCGATCTATTGAAGTTCACAACGACCAGAGCATGTGACATTTCCGATCATCAATTACAAACTCCCTTCTTATTCTTAATCTAGAACACGGGTACTGAGAATACCTCCAGAATCGCTTGTTATGCAAGGATCCCGCGCGAAAGTGTAGCAGCAAAGCTGCAACCTGCAATGCCCCGGTAGCAAGACCGGACCTCACCGAGACGTGTATAGAGTTTTGAAGGAGCGGAATCGAGTCGATAAGAGTTTTCGGAGCGTGATGAACTCGCCAACGCTGGACCTCGATGAGGGACGAGGTTTCAATACAGGTAGCGGAGCTTCTTCTAGTGAGGGAGCTTCCGATTCCTGATTGCAAGTTTCACCGAAAGATTCCTAATCAGATCGCTCTCGTATCCCTGATTGCGGAGCGATCAAAGTCGACGGGCGGCCGTTGATTGCGCCAATGGAGTTCACTCATCTTGAAGGATGAGGATGATTCCTTATATCGACTGATTCCGCATGATATCCGTGAGGTCAACGATCGCTCGGGCTAAACAAATCACCCCCGGCGGAGCCTCGGAAGGTTTGAAGGGGGTTTCTCGAGCTATCTCTTGTCATGAGCGTCAAGCTGAAAAGCGGCGAATTGAGGAGCGGATGCTCGCTGCTCCTCTTTTCTGGATTTCACGAGCCTTCGGAGCATATCTGATGAGTAGCATATTCAGAGCATGATTAGACAAGTTGGCACGGCCTTCGAACGAGGGCTTCGCACGGACGAGCCTCGGTCGTTCGTCGCGCGGACGAGTCCCGTTCGAACATGTGCGAGCAGGATCCGAGCCCTAGTTCGAAGCTCGGTGTCGGTCCGTTTCGCGTTGGAGGCGGTCCGACCGGGAGGAGAGTACAGATGTCAGAAAACATCCTCGCTCGAGAGTTGTGCGACACGCGATAAAAACTGGCGTACTCATTTTTGCAGGAGTCATAATTTCCGTGCCAGGACTTGTTTTCGAAAGTGGTCACACATCTTCCCACATGGAGAAAGCAACCAGAGCTATACGCCGGTAAGTTGATTATCCTCCGATAATCCACAATTAACTCATCAAACCCGAAAATTATGTCAAGCGAAGGAAAAAGTCCTGTATCTTCAATCTGTCCCACCTCGCGGTTCATGTCTGTTGTGCGAAGATCCACACAGAGCCTGTGTCGCCCTTTCTTGTTTTCTCGGCTATTCCTGAGATTAAGATGAGACTGTCAGCCTCGAAGAAATCCGAGCGGAACTCCATTTGATGTGAAAAACGAGAAGACCTATGATATATGATCAGTGTGATTGATTCGAGCTCAGAGTGGATCTGCGAGCTGTCTAAGCGGTAGCTACTTACGGCGCCACATGTTGGTTGACGTAAAAGTTCAGTCACGTCTGTGGACCGGAGCGTGTCAATGCTCAAAACACTCCATTCAACCGCTTGTCTGTCGCCTGTCGTTCATGTGAATGGAAAGATTTCCCTCAATGGTTCGTGTGCTCAATGCGCGAGACGCTCTTAAAGCGACGAAACTAGCGCTGTCAGGCGTCTGATGGCGCTGCCTCTCGCCGAAACTTTATCTTCGAGGAAGAACAGAAGTGGTGTCCATTGACAGCTCTGGATTCCCCAGGGAATATCGCGAGTCGATTAGAGCGGATTCTCCTGATCTCAGAATCATATGTACGGATGGAAAATGACGTGTATTTCCGGACCGTCACCCATTCTGGCATTCCATCACTTGAAAAATGAATTTCTTCTTCTCCGAAGGAGCGGTGTGCGTCTTAAGTCCATGAACTCCGGGCATACGGACCTCGCCTTAGTCATCTCTGGACTCAGAGACATGAGGATGGGCTTGCGAAGCTTCCAAAATGCTCAAACAGCAGGTGAGCTGAAGTTTTCTTCGTCTATTCTATTCTCTAGTCCGCCTTGCCCTGCAGTAATCTTCTGGAGCCAACGGCTTCCCGAAAAAAATCGCGCGCCACCGTTCGGCTCCAAAGTCTGTAGAAACCGTTGATGTTCTTCCTGCACAGAAAACGCATCAGTTTTTCTGTCAGCGACCGAGCAGGGGAACGCGAAAGCTTCGGCGTTGCTGTGATCAGCTGGAACTTTACCTGACTTGTCTCCTGCAGTGGCTCAAGACATGATGGTGTGGGCGCACACCGACGAGAATCGCGCTATTCAGGACGTTATGGAACAAATCAATGAACTGCATAATTTCTGGGCGGATTCACAGAAGGATTTTCTCGGTAAGCGGATCAAATTCTGACGAGGGCAATGAAGTTCCATCTACGTCTGGAAGGTTCATAGGTCTAGTCCTACCCGGGCTCGTGCGACATTCTCAATGGAAACTCCTTCTTAAATGCCCTTCTCTACATTCAGAGAATCTGAAAGCTTTCCGACATCAGTATGAGATGATACTCGAAGGTGAAAAAGTTGTGGACTCAGCAAGAGCCAACCTGGCCCAGGCCGAGCAGAGAGAGTACAAGATCAAGAAAGAAATTAAGAAAAATGCAAAGGTAAGCGTTTCGTCCCGGAGCCTTCGGGACGAAGGGCTCTGAATATGCCTGAAATCCTGGAATTTTCCTGATTGGAGGGTCGTGGGAGATTCGATGAGCTGGAATTAACGTTTTCGTGTCCACAGAAAGCCTCAGTTGAAGAAATGATGAGCATGGAAATGAAACTGTCAGACGCCGAACGGGAGAAAGATCTATGTCAATTCGAAGCCGTCGAGAAAATCCAAGAGAATGAGGTTTGCAAACTCATACGCCTCAAAGAAGGATTGACCAAGTTGAGCGACGGCTACATAGAGATGGCGCACAAGATGGCTATCATCTTCGACGCCCAGAAGGAAGTCGTTCAAGCACTGCCCGATGTTCACGACACTGCGATTCACGAGCTCAAATACACTGGTAGCGGTTTTACGAAGCAAGCCGTTCACAAGGCAAAAACCAGGATCGAAAAATATCACGCTCTCAAATACAGGCTGGTTCCGCATGGCGTCGGTGAGTTTAATGCGAGAGAATGCCCCTTCGCGTCGCGACAATAATTGACACTGGGGACATGAACCCATTGTTTTGCCCTAAACTAATTCCCTGATGTTCCTCCTCAGATGAACCCCCACCACCATACACGCCGGGATACTACGATCCGGTTACGGGGCTTCCGTACGAGCACGACACAACATCGAATGACGTTCGATTAAGACCCGCGCGGAGAACGGAGCCCAGAGCCCCACCGCTCGAAGAACGAGGGACTCTCGCGAGGGACTACTCGAGCGACGAAGAAGACTTACAGCGATTAGGAGCTCATAAACTGTGAGGAAGACGACCATGGTCAGGCCTGGCCCAAACCCGGTGCTTGAGACCAATGTCTTTCCTCCGGCACGATTGGTTGAAATTGATTGTTCGTATCTGATGTTTTCCGCAATAAGTCTGTGAATACTAGTAAACCGGAATATTTCGGTCTGTTGACGGAAGATTTCGAGCGGGAGAAAGTGAGACATCGACGAGGCTTTTGCCCATGTTGAATCGAAATCAATTGCGACGGTCACTGAACTCGAGGTCAACTTCAGCTATGCCCCGGTCGTTGCTACATAGGGGAAGTGGTACCTTCCACGTTTTCTCGAATATGTATTCTTGTCTTACATTATGGTTCCGATTCGCGCCGGCGATCTCCTGATTTTCTGAGAGGATTTCCCGGAATCCGAATTATACATTATTTTTCGCCGCCGGATGGTCGCGGTCGGTGCCGATCGGAGATCTTTAGAAGGAATATCGACAGTCGATGTTTTTCGTGAAGCCTCAGTTCCTGCCTCATCCAAGACCATTGGAATGTATTTTGTACGAAGGACGTAATGTTAGAGTCTATGTGTACCGAGAAATATTTTAATATATTCGACTGAGTTCGGAAGGCCGGTTCGAAGTCGATAAGTGATTCGAAGGATTGGTAGTCTATCCAGCGACGAAAATAAAATGCATTCGTACGGGGACTCAAGCTTCTATATCTGACAGAGCAGTCCATGGAGAAGGATCCAACGTAGTTTCGTTCCGGAGAGGGAGGAGTCACGGGTAATCAGAGAACTCTCTGCTAGGACACACATTTATTCGGAATTTCCGTGACCGACGTTCCTGTCTCTTTTTCCGCGTCCTCATATATTACAATGATTATCGATCAAATGATTTCGACTACTTAAGTTTAAGTTATCACCTTCACAACTCTCCTCTTATTTTATCAACGCGCCCGATTTGTTAGGACACCGAATGAGTAGACATTTCGCTTTTTCTCTGAGAAGAGATGGAGTCATTTCAGAATCATTTGGGGGTTCGAATTTGAGTAGCAGACAGAAAAAGTCACCTGACAGTCTTCGGAAGTCAGAATAGAATAGAATTGGAGAGTTTCGGGAGCCGCATCTTTTTAGCACAGATCTTCGGTGCGTATTGTACAATGGATATGTTCCCGGCTTCTGAGGTCTGTTCCCAGGTACCATCAGGAATACTCCGAGAACCCAAAGTTTAGTTTCCAGTGCGGATAGTTTCCGGGCACCGAATCTTGATGGTTCGTATCGGAAGGGAGAGGATGCACAGAAGCAGCCAACCCCTTCCGCGATATAAGCTCTCGAGTTATTCATTCCAAGCGGCTGTTCGGATTGCTTCCTTCAAATGCATGATTCGGCCAGTTTCAGTAACTTCGATTAATTTCTCTCTTAACTTCAAAGAGCACTCAGCTCACGAGCTGCGGAGAATTCCGTCGACTGCATACCGAAGAGGGGAAATCGTTCGCTCAGATTCACTTCGCATGGACATGTCGGACCTGGCACGTTCATCCGCGGTATATCACTCGATGATCAACAATTAGGTCGACCTCATTCTCGAGTCGAATCTGTGACCCGAGACCCGGCTCGTCTTGGGAGAAGAAATTCTACTCGAACAATAGCATCCGAAATGAAATACTGCAGAACATGGATCCCATATCATCGGCTCTCTCCCCGATCCGCTGAGAGATGTTCCAGATTTTCTCTCCGGGATCTGCTCAGCCATGCCGGACAGTCAGCGATGGCGATCAACACTCACTACTTTACCCTGGAGGACACTATCGAACATAATTTACAAAAGAAATGATGCCCACATCAAAGACCATGTAGGCATGCATCGTCCCCGACGAGTTCCTCAGCTTCTGTCGGGAATGATTCACAGTATCTACTTGGTCATGAAGTGTTGATAGCGTATATGCCGGTCGAGTTCCTCGGTCGTGATGAACTTTTCAAAACATTGTGGACACTTGATGAGATATTCGCCGTGCATATTCTTGATATGAGATTTGAGATTATGTTTGTAGGCCGAAGCGTACGAGCAGAACGTACATCCGAAAGGTTTCACTTCCGAATGCATCATCAGGTGACGGCTGTAACAGCAAAATATTCTCAGATAGAGCGACCCAACGTGTATATTGGGCTCTGCCAAAGAGTCCACAGGGACCCGATCAAATTTGACAATTCCCGGACGATTTTCGATCGTCTATCTTGATAGCTTCGGGAGGTGCTCACCGGTAATAGGCATAGTCCGCGGAAGAGAAATTGCAACGGTGGCACTTGTAAGGAAGCGGTTCACCGTGAACCTTCGCCTTGTGTTTCCGCAGGAATTGCGCAGTGTTGAATCGCAGGGGGCACTGGTTGCACCGGAACAGGAACGGATTCAACAAATCGTCTTCCTGCCGTAGCATGACTGAGGAGGAAGAGGGAGGAGCGGTCAGAGGAGGATGAAGAATCCCATGCACGACGGTCTTTGGCGAGACGATGACAAGCCATCGGAAGAATCAGCGACATTTTCTTTATTTCAAGAATTATTTCTGATTCCCCGCCCATCTCGTCCAAGCGGAGAGTTTCGCGTGACCCCTGGAAGAAAAGAGACTTTAGCGGGAGCATCGATCTCTTCAATATTCGGCTGATGGCTTCTTCCCGTGGTATTTCCAGGGACTGCGGGGGGGGGGGGAAAGGACCGCGGAACATCGGGAGAAATCAGACGGAAACGCGCACTGAAATATTCAACTCCGGAGGGCTCGAGAGGTTCGATGACCGAGAGTCGTCACCGAACTCTACTCGAAGGTGATGAACATAGGCTCCTCCGTCGACTTATTCAACTGAGTTCACCAACACTTGACCACTGATGTTGGAGGATCCGCGCCGTTCACATAGTTCTTGATTGAGGTCCCAAGACCCAAGAAGAACATCATGAAAACGACTTCTCCGCTGCGCGTCACTGGCGAGAATCGCGAGATCCGAAAATATGCAGCGCTCCGAAACGGGATGAATCTTCATTCGTCATTGCCGAAGCCGTCCAATGACACAAGACGCTCCTCAACTTCGCACATGATTGACGTAAAACAGCTGAGAACGGCACTTTTGACACCTTTGACAGCAAACTTCGGACAAATCGATCCGGGGTTTCTCTGGAGGGAGGTCCTCGACTCGATTCACTTCACATATTCGAGAGTGAAAATGAAATGAAATTTTGGACTTTTGAATTTTACAATTGTACCCATAGGAGAGGAAGAGCTCGAGATCTGTAAACAAACCGACCAAGAGCTCCTGACCCCCACTGACTTCACGCGGAGGCCTTTAACCGGAGCGCCCGTATTCCAAACGGGACTTCGACGCACCATGTCGAGAACCAGCTCCTGAGCTGTACAAAGTCGGACGATTCCGGGTGCAATTCCATTTTACTCGAGTATATTGTCGAGCTCGCACTCGTCATCATTTTTTTGAGTCCTCAGACTGGCCCTCTCACGGGTTACGTCCATAGGCGGCCTGACGAGGAGGCGCGCGGGCCGCGAGCTCGGGTCTCGCCCAGTGCCTGCCGACCATCCCGAATGAGAGCAATGGTGAGTTCGAAACTCAGACCCGAACGGACATTTTCTCGTCTGCCCCGTTTCAGGACCAAGCCCCGATTGGGGGCATCGCTCTCTTCGCGCACTCTTTTCGCCATCATCCTTCGGTAGGATCATATCGTTTCTTATACTGATGAACGATAATAACATGCGGGCAACGGGCCGTCCCGTCCTCTGTCGCATGGATCTGATTCCCGGATCGAAAAATTTCTCAGGTAACAAATAGTCTATGGGAAAGGCGGGTCGGGAAGTCGAAATGGGTTCTGAATTAGGATGAAGCACGCCCAATCTTCGCGCTCCGGGCTCGGAGCCTCACGGTGGAATCACTTCTTTGCTCTCATTCATTTCCTTAATGTTTGTGGAATGAGCAGGATCACTAACAGTCGCGATGCACTGTCCGCTGACATTGCCACGCCGTACACATTATAGCGTGATCAGCGAAATTATCTTTGTCGCCTCGACCTGATCTGGAGATTTAGTCACGTGTTGGAATCTTTCGGGAACCCAGATGCCTCTGCCCCTCTGTCTTCTTGAGGAGTCCAGCGTGAACGAAAAGTAGGAGAAATGCTGGCGCATTGGAGCACACCCGAGATCTCTTTCCTTCAGCCTCTGGCTATAGTCACCTGAAATTTCTTCAGAATTCCGTCCTGAGGAGCCCCCTGCATCTTCCGAAAGCAGCGGCGGAATCATAAGCACGAAGCTCGTCCGGGGTGCATGCACACGAGTGTTGAGGTGCAAGACATCGGAATCGGGTGACCAGAAAACCTGTGATCGGGCAGCAGGATTGAATTGGGCTGCTTGAGTTGCTATCGCAACTCCGACTGATTTCCGACAATAGCGAGCCTGAGAGAGCAAGATGGCCGCTCAGATCGCGAAGGGTATTTCCTGTGATCAGAGATGACTGCCTCACGCTCACATCGCTGGGGGGCAAGGCAAGATTCAGTTCCCGTCAGGCTCATGCGGCCTGCAAGCATAGTGAAACTGAGAGCCTAAGTTCGGCATGTGGTCCATCCCGCCGAGTCTGGATACGGTGCTACGTACCCTAGAAGACAGCGACTCCCGAAGACAGCACAAGAGCGCCTGGATAAGAGATCGGGGAACCACGGAAGACACCGCACACGAGCGAGCTATCGG